GCCGGCGTTGGACCCCTAAGGCCAAGATGGACCCTCAGAGGCCGATGCAGACCCTTAGAGGCCGGCATCGGGTCTCCAGAATTCAGTGCGGGGCCCTCAGAGGCACCTAAAGGCTAGTCTTGAGACCCCAGAGACAGAAATGAGGCCACCAGAGGCCGGTGTGAGGCCCTCAGACGTCGGCTGGGCCCTTGAGGCCGGTTTAGGGGCCCTCAAATGCCAGTGGAGGACCCTCAGAGGTCAATGTGGGTTCTCAGAGGTCAATGTGGGCGCTTGACCGCCATTGAAGGGCCCTCCGAGATCAGTGTAGGACCCTCAAAGACTGGTTTGGAAGCTGTTAATAGCTGGCGTGGGATTCTTGAGCCTCGTGACAATCGAATAAGTGCCAGAGCCCCATACGCCCATGGGGGCCCATTGTTTGTTTGGGGGGGGGGGGGGGCAAATAGAGGGGCAGATACAGACATTGCTAGCCCCCAGCCTGTTTGAACCGAGGCGGGGGCACGGTCACTCTGGCCCCCAGCTAGTACGCCTTTGACGAACTATGCCGACCCCATGAAGCAGATCTGGTCAAGCGTTGGTCGTTTGTATACGCATTCTCCTGCACCGTGCTAGTATTGTCTTTATACCTTTTCAGTGCTCGCTGTCCCGTATATCGTAATCAACAAAATGCTGCGGCACCAGGACTCACAGTCTTGTCTCTGATATGGTTTTCTTCATTGAGTGAAGGAAATTGCGGTCAATAACGCTGTAGAAACAAAAGGGAATCTTCACTAAAGGGCAAGCTGAATAGTTGTCAAGTTCTGGTGTTTAGGGTACCGGGTGGTAGGTACAGATAGACACTTAAGTCAGCAAAAAGTGGGGGGGGGGGGCAGTTAACATTGCTGGCCCCCCCACCTCCGAAAGTGGGGGGGCCATGGCCCCCCCGGCCCCCCCTGTTCCTACGCCTATGTGTGGCGTATTGTAATTTGTAGTGTTCTGAGACGTGCTGTCATCTAACGGCAGAAAAGCGAACTCGTGGTGGACGGCAAGTGAGGGCGCGGGAGCCGGAGCGTTGTAGAGTTAGACACCCGAGCTAGGGTTGGTCAGTGCTGTAGAATATCTGACATTACTGAATACAAATCCTCGTCTTACGTTATCTGATATCTTAAGAACGTTACACATACATACATACATACATACATACATACATACATACATACATACATACAATCCATGTGCTACATGTTGACGAGTCAACAGTGGCTATTTGACACAAAAACAGTGGATACAAGACACGGGCTGGCATGCTCGCTGGAGGACCATTCGAAAGGACGGTGCTGGTTACTTAGCAACGCCGTATAAACAATCCTTTCGGCAAACGGCAAACGGCAAATACATCGTTACAGGAACACGTTAATGGCTAGTGAAGTCGCCTATTCTTTTATTGTCGCAGCCAGTAAGCTCCTTGGCACTTTGCACACTTGGATGGAGTCCCATATGTGCAGAATCATACATATGGCTGTTTAGCACACTCCCAATGTCACGGACAGGTAATAAGCATAGGACGAATAGCGATAGGCAAACAAAATAAAATTGGGACCAACATTGACCATAAAAGAAACATGCTTTTTAGAAAGCATTGTAATGACATCGGTAAAGTGTGTTAATTTACTTTTAGAATAATCAATCAAGGCTGAATGGTATGCATCTCGATATGTGCGTTCAAATCGTTTTGATAAAAAATGCACGGTTTCATGAGCCTGGTTTTAATTTTTATTAACTGAATTGTCCAGAAACATCTTAAAATTACCTGATGGTGATTGTAAGTGCGAGATTGTGTCTTGATGTTTGTAGCCAATTGAAGTTCCAATTTAACACAGAACCTGCGAGATTTTACTATTTATTGTCACGACGACTTTACTAACTTGAATCAATTTACTCGTACAGGTCCGTTTTAAATTAGTTTAGGAGAACACTCGCACTTAAAACACAACAAAACGTAAACTCAAACAACCATAAACCATAATCATAACAACCAAAATATTCAAATCTTCTCCGTATTTTCAGTTTTCTCTGTCATGCTCACACAAAATTTGTCTAGCTCGTGACGAATTTCTTGCAGTGTTTTTGATGTCCTTCGATGTCCAATAAAGTCGTTTGTCCAAACACCCGGCCCATTTGAGACCGTATAGGGCTCAAATCAACTTCTGGCCTCCGTAATCTTCACCAACTTGTTCACTGGTCGCCATAGAGTAGTACCACGACTTCGCACTTTGGCTGATCGTACTTTAGCGTCGTCGCTTGTGCGGACGTCTTCAACTAGACCTAGAGGCCATGTGCCTCTCGGCACAGAGTCGTCCACTACCAGGACCACATCTCCTACTTTGACATTCTCACGACTTCTTGCGACTGGTCCGGCCCGTGTTTGGAGCAGAGGGACATATTCAAGCCGCCAACGTCTCCAAAACTGGTTGGCGAGATATGATGCTTGTCTCCAGTTTTTCCTGCCGTGTAGGTCAAGGTCTTCAGCCGTCCGACTTGCGGGAAGAGAGACACATCTCAAAACGAGTAAGTGATTGGGGGTCAGTGGCACATGATCCCGCGGATCTGACGACACAGGTGTCAGCGGCCTGTTGTTTATAATGCACTCTACTTCACAGAGGAACGTTCGCAGTGTTTCTTCACTGAAAGTCTGGCTGGTAAGAAGAGCATCTAAAATTTTCTCTCCTCGCTTGTAACTCAACTGCTTGTTTATCTAATTCGTGTTTCTTCTTCAAGGCGGATGCTCTTACTTTCAACCCTGCTAATTTAGCGGCTTCAAGCACTCTGCAAGAAGCCAAAGAAGATGACTTCGAACTGACTGAAGATACTGAAATACCAGAAATATCCGACAGGGTGTCCAACTCTACCTTCGGGAGAGTTCCTTTGCAATATATTTCTTCTGGTATCAATGCTTCTAATAACCGGGCGATTAATATAGGACGTGGTCCAGCTGTATCTAGTCCCCGCTTGTCTAACTCTCGCCTCAATGCGCCTCGTGTCATGCCGTCCAAATCCATGGCGTCCGCGGTGCAGGTAGATAGGGTATATGTCGTAACAGCACAGACGAGAAGGGCTTCAACTTGCAGCCTTTAGAATAACGTAGCTTGCTGGCATCACTTTACTTTGATCAGAACGTTTGTATATACGTTATGTTTATATTTACGTTATTTTGTCTGTACCAATCAACTAATTTAAAACTGTAAGTGCGAGATTGTGTCTTGATGTTTGTAGCCAATTGAAGTTCCAATTTAACACAGAACCTGCGAGATTTTACTATTTATTGTCACGACGACTTTACTAACTTGAATCAATTTACTCGTACAGGTCCGTTTTAAATTAGTTTAGGAGAACACTCGCACTTAAAACACAACAAAACGTAAACTCAAACAACCATAAACCATAATCATAACAACCAAAATATTCAAATCTTCTCCGTATTTTCAGTTTTCTCTGTCATGCTCACACAAAATTTGTCTAGCTCGTGACGAATTTCTTGCAGTGTTTTTGATGTCCTTCGATGTCCAATAAAGTCGTTTGTCCAAACAGTGATTTCACCACGAGGCACGAGGTGGTCATTTTTTACTCATTTTTAACATAATGGGTCGGGAGAGGTTATAGAGCGACACCATTAGGTTCAAGGATAGATAAGATATACCAGGGACAAATTAATTTTGAACACGATAATGTCGAGCTCTCCCATGCCGCAGGAGTGAGGTAGGATATGGGATGGGATGCCTTTTGGGTGAGGAATGAAGATTTTTGTCGTGTGAGGATGCCTGGTCCCAGTCCGTATGATGAAAATCCGTAGACCGTTTCCTGCCAGCGCGCTAATTCTGTCTTCCAGGCTTCTTCAACTGGTTTCTTAGACACGCCTCTTTCTTTGTCGTCCGCCGATGGAACTGCGATTATGCTGCAGCCGACAGTGCGATGGTTAAACCAATATTCTCACAGATAGGTTAAACTGCGACGGGCGATAGTGCTGGTTAAACTATGGCAGCCGAAGGAGTGGTAGTTAAAGGGACCCTCCCACCTTAACATTAGTTTTGAGTTGAGATAGCCAAGTTTGCGGCCAGGCTCAGAAACCACCATTTATCCTGGTCGCAACCCCCGCAGCTTTATGGTGTTCAAGAAATTTCTTCCCTTTACTTGCAGGGTGGGACCAGCGTGGTCCCTATCTCTTAACCATTATGGGAATCTGATGACGTCATCAGGCTTTCGAACGTCCGTCATTAAGTTTGACTAAAACGTTTTGTAGCACGCGGTGGTATATGCTGCTTTGCGCGCAACAAATGCCGCACTTTTAAATAAAGTCGCTAGGAACAGCGGAAATCCCAAAAAGTAAACAAAAGTAAAAGTCTAATATCTTGAAAACCGGTGAATATTTTTCGATGAAATTTGGTAGATATTCGTTTTTGCTCTTTCTGAACCGAGCGACATCACTTTCATGCCAATTCATTAACTTTTTTGAAGGTGGGAGGGTCCCTTTAAACTATGGCAGCCAACAGTGTGCCATTTGAGCGGCGACGGACGACGTCAGATCAGATCAGATATGTATTCATCGAGGGTCCACAGCAAAAAGTGGCTTTTCACCTGACACGTAAAGCAGATAAAACCGATAAAACATAGGGTAAGTGGACATGACATCATCATAGCACACAAATCACGCACACGACATTCACACCAATACCATCTCAGTGACGTCTGGTAAGAATCACGTTTGTTGCCTCTCGACGGAACGATGGCAAATACGGATCCAAGTTCATGTCGTTCAACATCGAGACCCCCCTGATACACAGTCGGCGCCTCCCCGTCTCGGTTCGGGGTCGTAGTTGTGTCAATCTGCCGGCGTGCCTTGTGTTGTGGTCATGTAGGTCGCGGGCTAATGGACCGATGGTTTGGCTGATATATTCAGGAGTTCTCGTGGTGATAGCTCGCTGGACTGCGCAGATAGTGTGGTACTCGGCTAACTCATCTGCTCGCAGCCAGCCAAGCCGCTCGATGACATCGGAGATGTGGTCACTGCGTCTGCGACTGCTGACGACCCGCGCACAGAAGTTGATGATCTTCTGTACGCGAGTCATCTGTGTCACACCACACGTCCCGTACACACTCATGCAGTACCGCACAATGGAAAGAACCACGGCCTGCACTACGTCGGCCTCTGGGGTGGCCGGGCGCGTCGGTGGCGGTCCGGTCAGTGGGGGGTCAGCGCTCAGCAGGGGCAGCCAGGTGGGCCGGCGTGCGAGCGCCGAGCCACGCACAGGCATCGGGGGGCGGCCCGGGACAGGCGAAACTGGCCCTTGCCTTCTAAGTAGTTTGAAGATAGGTAATATAAATTGTGACGGCCGTCGAAAGGACCGATCAGTGAGCACTGTAATTCGAGGATCAGTGCGGGTAAGGTGTCGGGATGGACGCTCTGTCGGCGGCACGGCGAGTAACTCGTGTCACATCCCTCTCCCGCGCCATCCGTCTGGTGGTCTTCACTCTTCGCAGTCTGCCTCGTCGCCTTTCTGGGACTGGTGAGTAGACTCGTCAGAGACTCTCAAAAGGGGGTTTAAGAATGGGTGTCAAAACGTTAATAACATTAAACGGCTAAGCACTGTACCCGAAGAACACTATTATTGATATATATTATGTCGAAAAACGTTTGCCACATGATATGTTCAATGATTATTCCAGCATGCCCCAGCTGCCTGACCAGCAGACTCTAATTATGTTATACAGTTATAGGTGTTTTATCCAGTTTTGATACATCCGACAGCAGGAACGAACTTCTGGATATTTTTTTTTTTTATTAACCCGCGCCCCGCTGGGGGTGGCAGAATCTGCCTCCTCCCGTTTTTTGCCAGTAACTTCTAAATGCGTTACGCCAGCGACGTCAAACTTTCAGTACCTTATCATACATCAATTTAACACGTTCCCTGAAATTTTTGTGCGAAATTTGTCGGATTTTTTTTTCATAGAAAATGACGCTTAAGTGACGTCAGGTCACGCCATTTTCGCCTCAAAACGGCAAAACTTCAAACGCCGCTAACATTTTCATTTTTAAAGGAATCAAGACGTACCTAACAAAAAAGGTTATACGTGATTCTAATTCTACTTTGTCTATCAAATGGCTACCTCGGTTTCGAAAATTTTGGATTTTGGCCCAATTTAAAAACAAAACTGACTTTTTGGGAAAATCATTTAAAAATCCAAAACTTTGAGTGTATCGAAAAAAAACGGAATACCTATTTGTCAGAGAAGTGGTCTATGTATGTGCACCTACATACCAATGTTTAGAAGAAGCAGTTAAAAAATGTGGGAGTTATTCAAACCTTTATGACGTCATGACATGCAGTTTTTTAATGTATTTTTTTTTTGGAAGTTCTAGACCTCGTACGGAAACAAAAATAGCAGAATTCGATTCGCCATGAAAAACTGCATCAGATAGGCACCTTTTCAGGTCCTAACAACCAGCTTCAACATTTCACCTCACTTGACCTGACCTTGACCTGGTCTCGACATGAAATTCATCCAGATGTGGTCCATATCACTTATTGAGTGTGCCTATTGATTTTTATGAATAAAATGACCCATATATGTTTAGCATATGCCCTTTTCTATATTTCGTTTTTGGTGACCTGGCCTGACCTTGCCAGCTTGACCTTTGCATGATATTGTATGCAACAAATATTGTCTTGGTAGCCTAAGAACACGTTTTGGGCAATCAGTCTCAGTCCATTCTTCGGCAACTACCCAGCTAACAGGAAACGTTACTACAACGTTGTCACAACGTCGTGTTTCGGTAAGTTGCGAAATTACGTTTTAATTACGTTGTAGCAACGTTCTGAACGTTGTGAAGCCATGGTTTGGTCCGAAAGTCGTGGTAAAACGTCGTGACAACGTTTTATTGGTACGTTGCAGCAACCGCGCACTTGCAGCATTATATTTTGATAATGCATGGTGACATATATGGCCATATAATGCATTTCCTTTGACTTTCAATGCGCATATTCAGTTTTCATCGTTAAATTTGACATATTTTAACACTTGGACTGTTCACGTTGTCAGCAGGTGGTCGCCAACACGTTGTTAAAACGGTTTTTCACAACCTTGACATTATAGGTACTGAATAATTAGCGGTGTTTTTACAAGTAAATTCTGATACCTTTCTCTCTCTATCTCTCTCTAATATATATATATATATATATATATATATATATATATATATACACATATATATATAACATGTGTAAATTGCAAAGCGTCATTGGCATGTTTTGCAACATCACAGGCGGAGCTAGAGGCTTGCAACTATCCCTATGTAAACGCGGCTGTTATCCGCGGCTGCCAGCAAGCCACGCGGGCCGCCACTCAGGCGAACGGTGGCTCGCGCCCTGACCTCGCCTGAGGGGCCGTGACGTCAGTGTCACCGGCCGGCGTTCAGAGCCAGCCGGCCGAGCCGCAGTCTACGCGGCGCGAGCGAGCGGTGAGGGCCGGCGGCGGGCGCGGCTGAGATAGCTGGAAGATGAAAGATAGCGCCAGTTGTCTGCGTTTGATGCGATTGTTGCTTTGACTGGTAAGTTAAAGTACCATTTACGAGAAGCATTTGCAAGATTGCGCCTTGTAATATCGTGCGGTCTAGGCTATAGTTCATTGTAGCTCTAGCCTCTAAGGTGTTGACATGTTTGATCTAGCCTGTCGCACTGTTACGGAAAGTGGTGCAGGTATTTTTATGATTTTTTCATGAATTGAATGTCTGATTTTCCCTCATGTCTTCCCGCAGACGTCCTGCAACTCGTCAGCGCGCCTTGTGGCAGTCCTACTGTCGGCAATGCGGTAGCGAAGTGGCTGTCCGGAAGCTGCGACCGGAACGGGGGGTGCGCAGACCGTCTAGTCAGGCACTGCCAGCTGCCTAGGGACATCGAGGCCGCAAATGAGCCGGTGCCTAACGGTCCGCCGAGTGATCCTCCCAGCGAGGGTTAGTGAAGAAGTGAACTTCCACCAGTTCTGGCGTGCTAGCGGCTAGCGCCAGAGCCGGTAGAACCCAATTCCGTCCCACGCCCCCATGGGGGCGCCCCTGGGCCCCATGCCCCATCACCGATGCCGCCGCCGTCGTTTTTTTTTTTGTAAATTGACCTGTATGATGTATTGAAATATACACTTCTTACATGCCTTTTTTTACAAGTCTAGAGAACGGGAAGAGAGCGTCGGAAACACATTCTGAGTATGTTGCGAACACGTTGAGAGGGCGTTGCGAAAATGTTTAGGACGTTTACTCAGGGTCGCAGGGACGGCAATACGAAGTGGCGACAACGTGGTGCGCACGTGATAAAAACGTCGCAGAGACGTTGCCAAAGCGTTCTATACTCCTTGTAGTCACGTTGCGGAAACGTGGTGACAACGTTCCAGAAACACTGTTGGTACGTTACAGAAAACATTTCATAACGTTGGCGGGACGTTGTAAGAACAGTTTTGGGATGTCACGGCCACGTTACAGAAACGTTGTGATGACATTCAAATGCATGGTCGGATGACGTTGTCACGCCGTTGTCTGGAGTCTACAAAATTACGTTGTCACAACGATAAATCGGGACGTTGTGGTAACCATTTGACAACGTTTAAACGACGTTGTAACAACGGCAAATTGTTAGCTGGGTACGGTGCAAGGCCGATACTGTAAAAACTTGCATTTTGTACCCTTGACCTGACCTTGACCTGACCTCTGACCTACTTAAGCAAAAAAGTCGGCTCTTTAGATCCGCCTTGTTGAGAGCTTTCGATTGTTGTTTTCCCCGTCTTTCTACGACCACCGGTTCGGAAGTTAGACGGGGGGGGAGCAGAATCTGCCCCCCCCCCCCCAGCAAGGCGCGTTTGGCTTAATAGCCCAGCGGGGCGCGGGTTTTAACCCATCCATTGCCGAGTGTGAAAGAAATGAAAGAAGTAGCTATTTCTTTCATTAATTTTCATCGATTGGTTGCAATCATTCAAATACTTTTGTATTCGACATTATACTGGGCTGAGTGAAATACCATACCATAATGCGCGTCAAAATGTGTCTCTTTTTTGTCACGTGTAACTAACTCCGTTTTAACTTCAAAACGATAACCTTACAACTTATCTCTTAAAGGGACACTCCCACCTTAACATTAGTTTTGAGTTGAGATAGCCAAATTGGTGGCCATGGCCTGCAAATACCGGTTTGGGCACTCACAACATCGACAAATGCTTTAATTCGGAGATATGGAATTTCAAACTTGCAGTTTTCGGATTCTAAGGGGCTAGTGCATTGGTATGCCCCCTTAGAATTTGTGACGTCAGCGGAGATCTAACGATTTTTAAATCTTTTACTAAAACGTTTGGTAGCACGCGGTGGTATATGCTGCTTTGCGCGCAACAAATGCCGCACTTTCAAATAAAGTCGCTAGGAACAGCGGAGATCCCAAAAAGTAAACAAAAGTAAAAGTCTAATATCTTGAAAACCGGTGAATATTTTTCGATGAAATTTGGTAGATATTCGTTTTCGCTCTTTCTGAACCGAGCGACATCACTTTCGTGCCAATTCATTAACTTTTTTGAAGGTGGGAGGGTCCCTTTAAGCTTGTGACAAACATAAAAAGTTATATCATCGCTGCTCCGCTCAGGAGTAAAGCATGCCTTCACTTTCTGTTCCAGAGCAGTTATTGTCTTATCAAGTTTATGAGAAAGGAAACGGTGAAGACGTTTGAAGTGAACGAGTCAGCAGCACAGGAGTTTGCTGTCACCATCTGCAAAATACAAGAGTCAATATTTAAAGAGGACGACTATCTGCGTATTACCGGCAGGTTGGTGAAAGTCGAGATAGGTAAGTACTTACACCGTGGAACTGCATTAACCCGCGCCCCACTGGGGTCTGTGTATAACACGCCCTACTGGGGGGGGGGGGGGATATTCAGAGCCCCCCTCCTAACTCCGAAACTACTGGGCCGATCGTCAAAATTCAAACGGCATCTAATAGCCCCGGAAAAACTGTCGAACGAAACCAAATTTCATTGACCTCAAGGTCACCGATGACGTCACAGGTCAGGTCAAAGTAAAAATAATCGATATTTGGCTTGTTCAGTGTTCACATTTTGGGCTCTGGCTGCCGTCTTACAAGTCAGAGCAGGCTGATTTTTGGTTTACACACTCGGAACAGATGCTTTAGATACCCTGAGGGTACCAAAATTGTACTTTGATTTTCAGGTCAGGGTCAGGTCATCATAGGTCACGGAAATATCATGTCATAAGTCGGTCACGTGACACATGTCTTATGGTCCATTTAGGCCATAGATTTCGAATTCGGTGTCGCCTGTGTCATTTGAGGTCATTTTCATCTGAATATAGCCACAGGCGGCGGAACGATTTGAGACAAGGGGGGGGGGGGGGCACCAGCTCAAGGAGCCAAACCTAGGGTACCCCCAAATCCTGTTTTCTCATCGGATTTAGGCCACTTATTTTTCGTCACAGCCCTGGCCGATGATTTTTTTTATTTTTTTATTTTTTTTACTAAACGAAAATGGCAGTTCACCCCCGTATGTGTGGCTAACTTTAAAGGAAATAGTTCACTTTTAACATGGGGTTTTGAGCTGGAATAGCAGTTTCGTAGCTTGAGCTGAGACTAGCACAAATCAGGAGCTTTTACGGCTCAACGATCACCCTAGACGGAGAAATTCCATTTCTCGTTCCGAAAAGAGTGCCTTGTAGAGGAATGCGTGCCTTGCACAGGAATGCAGCTACGTCATCGTCAGCCAATCAGCGTGCTGCTTACAGCCAATGCAGTATTCGTAGGTTTGAGCTACGCAATATGATTGGTCAATGCGTAATAAGCTTCCGCGTCAAACATTATTTTACATAGAATATAGTTCGCCCTATATTAAAATAAAGAAAATAATTGTTTTTACAAAAAGGTTTTATTTTATTTCATGATTATTTTGAGCATAAAAAATCATAAATCAATAGCAAAATACTGATTTCAGGAAAGTGGACTGTTTCCTTTAAGCTGATCCTCAAGTACCTATGTGTTTGTCTCTTCCTTATTGTCGTTTGATAAATTCCATTTATCCTACATGTATCAAATTCCCAAGAAGCCATCGCAGTACTTATCAGTGGCGAATCTCAGGGGGGAGGTCACATGGGTCATGACTTAGGGCCTGGGGTCACCACATGCCTGCCAGGAGCACCACAGGCCTGACAGCCGACAGGGGCACCACAGGCCCGCCAGGGGTACCACAGGCCTAGCAGGGGCACCACGGGCCTGTCAGTGGCACCACAGGCCTGTCAGGAGCACCATCGGCCTAGCAAAAGCACTACCTACAGGTCTTCCAGGGGCACCACAGACCTGCCAGGGGCACCAGAGGCCTGCCAGGGGCACTATCGGCTTCGCAGGGGAACCACCGGCCTCGTAAGGCCACCATGGGCCTGTCAAGGGCACCACAAGCCTGTCGTTGGCACTTTAGGATTGTCAGGGGCACCACAAACCTGTCAAGGGCACCTGCGTGCTAACAGGGGCACCACAGGCTCGCCAGGGGCACCACAGACCTGCCAAGGCCCAGGGACACCACAGGCCTAGCAAGGACACCACAGGCCTGTCAGGGGCACCACGGGCCTGTCAGGGCCCATGGGCACCTAAGTCATGTCAGGGCCCACCGTAGGCTTGTCAGGGGGCAGGGTAGGTAGGTACCACAGTCTTTCCAGGGGCACCAGCGGCCTAGCAGGGGCAGCAGTCATCACATGACTAACCAAAAATAAAGAAAATAAAACAACTGAAAATAGGGCACCACCAAAATTAATTAAAATTAAGTTAAGTAAAATTAATCCGTTGTTGAGGTTTTAATTTTGGGTATAGGTAGGGGCACCACTTCGATTCATGACCCTCCCCTTGGAGTTTTCCCGAATCCGCCCCTGGTACTATAGTTCGTTTTTTTTCAAAAGGACGCTGGCTCAAAGTTCATTATCGAAGCTCTCACGTGAGTTTTGGCAACTTCAGTGTCTGGCTAAGAATTTCTTGCCGAAAAAATGATCGATTTCAAATTGTGCTCGGTAAATGCAGGAAATTGTGACTTCAAAAAATGAGCATACTATGATGACGTCACTGGTAGCAGCTGGCACCCAATGTCCGTACGCAGGCACGTACCCAGGATTTCGCCCAGGAGGGGGCCACCTGCTGTCGAAGGGGCCCCCCACAGTGTATAGGGCCCCCCAGGTTCCCCGGGGGCCCCCGGGAGTCATGAAGAACCTTTCGATGGTGGGGGGGGGGCATAGTGGGTCCTGTCTCTCCTGCAGACGTAGGTGAGAAAACGCCACGTGTGTGGGAAAACGCAATTCAGTTCTTTACAACCTAATGTAGCATTTGGTTGTGATTTCTCACGTTCAACTTCATCAAAGTCAATTAAAACGGTCTCTGTAACGGTCTAAGCCTTGAGAAAATGTGGAAAATTGGAAAGTAAAAATATTTTTGCTTGAGGAGTGTGCATGAAACGCACGGCATTTTATGAGCGAGCGCCTCAATTACTGAACATCCTCCAATTCCGGATATGTAGGTATATAATATAATAGTGGGGAATAAATGTCTCGTTATCGGAATTCCACTATCTGGCAACTAGCCGTATGTAAACGCGGCTATTATATGTTTCACTAGGAAACGAGCGCAATTGTACTTTTAGCCAGAAAATAAATGCTTGGGTAATTCTGGGACACTCTGTATTAATTGGAGGAATAGTACTTAGGAGGAAATGCGATTGCAAATCGACCCACATCCCTGTGTTAGCCAATGACGCCTTTGGGGCCAAGGTTGGGGGGTATTCAGTTTAGCCTTTTTGTTTTTCTGTGATATCTCCGGCACCGTGAAAGATATTGGCTCCTTCAGATGAGTGCCTACTCCAGTCACTACTTATATCCAGTAGCCAGTAGCCACTCAGATGATTTGGGATCAATCAGGTGATAAGCGTACTTTCAGACGACCAGGGGCCCACAGTCGACCAGGGGTTCCCAGGCGACCAGGTCCTCCAGATGACTAGGGGCCCCACTGCCCCAGGCGACCAGGGCCCTCCAGGCGACCAAGGGCCAATGCGATCAGGTCCCCAAAGCGATCAGGGGCCCCCAGGCGACCAGGGGGCCCCCATGCGAACAGGGGGCCCCATGCGACCAGGCCCCCGGCTACCAGGGGCCCCCAGGCGACCAGGGGCCCTCTAGGTGACCAGCGGCCCTCAGGCGATCAGGGGCCCCCAGGCGACCAGGGGATCCCAGGCTACCAGGGGCCCAAGGCGACCAGGGTCCCCCAGGCGACTAGGGGCGACCGGGGGCCCCAGGCAACCAGGGGCCCCATGCGACCAGGCCCCCCGGCTACCGGCCTAGTCGCCTCCTCTGAAGGCGACTAGGTACCCCCAGGCGATCAGGGGCCTCAATATCATGCAACCAGAGGCCCCCCATGCGACTAGGGCCCCCTAGGCGACTAGGGGCCACAGACTATCAGGGGCCCATACGACCAGGCCCCCGGCTATCAGGGCCCCCTAGGCAACTAGGGGCCCCCAGTCGATCAGGGGCCTCATGCGACCAGAGGCCCCCCATGCGACCAGGGCCCCCTAGGCGACTAGGGGCCACAGGCTATCAGGGGCCCCCATGAGACCAGGCCCCCAGCTACCAGAGGCCCCCTAGGCGACCAGGGGCCCAGGAAACTGGGGGCCCTTGGATGACTGCAGGGGCCCCTCGGGTACCCAGGGCACATAAATGAAACTTTAATATCAATTTTCTTCCGAGTAAAAGACGTTTTATCCAGTGTTTAAAAAATATCCTGGGGCCTGAGGGGCCCCCTGAGCGCCTTCGGCGCTCAGGGGGGGGGGGGGCCTTGGCCCCCGTGGCCCCCCCTTGGGTACGTCACTGTCCGTACGAAAGCATTCATTGCCAAATAATTTTGGTAAAACTTCGTTTTTTGCTCTTACCGAGGCCGGAATCGAGTAAGCGATTCTTTCCATGATAGTTATGCATTGCATTGCAATGCAAACTCCGCAGCATGACGTCACCACTGTTCTCATGTCTAGTTCCAAAACGCAGGCATGGAATTTATCGGGAATAATTCACATGTTAAAATAAGGCGACGTTCGAGTTTCTCAGGTTCAGTTTTTGCCCGTTTTGCTCGCTAAAACACGTGCTTGTTCGAAAAGCATACTTGGAGCCAGCGTCCTTTTTAAAAAAAAAACGAACTATAATACATCAAATTTAAGGGGGGGGGGGGCACCTTGCTATTGGTGCCCCCTTGCAGAATTCAAGGGGGGGCACGGTGCCCCGGTGCTCCCCCCCCGTTCCGCCGCCTATGAATATAGCTGAGGTCACTTCCAGGTCCAAAACGGTCAAACTTCAAAGTTGAAATTTTTCAACAAAAAAAACATGCCTATCGGATGCAGTTTGAGCTCAGGAACACTATGGTGCTATTTATATTGATGTACGATTTCAAATTAGTACAGAAAAAATGATTTGAAAAATTTAAAATTGTGAATTTTTTGCTATAATGCGTATAACTTGGCCATTTTTGAAGATATCTGGCTAACACTTGCTATAGTAAGTCATAAGCATGTGTTCTATCATATATATTCCGTTTTTTTTTTCTCAAAAATTCCAAAAGTTTTAGAAAAAATATAAAAATACAAATTTTGAGTTTTAATATATTTAATTTTCAAAATTTTCAATATTTTGGAAATTCGAGATAGCAGTTTGATAGCGCAATCGATTTTGAGTCCTCTCAGTCTTGCAAAGAAATTGGATCTAGCTAAAAAACTGAGCTCTTGGGAGCGATTCCCGTGGTTCAATGTTTTGCGTCGAAATCGGCCGAACATGACGTCACTCTGACGTCATTTCCGGCCGACCTATGATAGATACGAAGTTCAAAATTTTGACACAAGGTGTAAAATTGATTCAGCCGAAGGTACTGAAAGTTTGGCGGCGATACGTCAAGCGGTTTAGAAGTTATTCCAGAAAAACGGGGGGGGGGGCTATGAATAGCCCCCCAGGTGGGGCGCGGGTTAATACTGTGTAAAGTGTAATTAGTGTGTATTGCGCATTGTGCATATTCAACGAATCTTCATATACCAATCATACCCTAGGGTCGATATTCATCGTGACACTGGGCAGTCGAAGTGTGCGCTGATCACTCTTGCACCTCAAGGCCATCTCACGCTAGCCCCTCGTTTCGGGCAGGGTATTTGGTGTTATGCGGCACAGTCTGCCTACCCAGTGGCAGAAGACGCCCGCGCTCGCCTGATGCATAGGACAGAAGGCAATAGGCGTTAGGCATGCACACATCATGCTCGTGCTGCGCGGTGCGCACGGCACTTACGGCCTAAGCGTGCGGCCACTGATTAAGTCAGCTCCCAGCATTGATAAAGAGTTATTATTATTGAGAGCATGAGCATAGACTCTCATTGCGTGAAGTGCATGTGGGCGGCGGGTGTCCCACTGTCCGTACGACTCGTGATCTGACGCGTCGCCTGCTGCCCCACCTGCACCATCCCTGACAGACCTCTGCGGAGCGGACTGGAGAACCCGACCGAGGCGCTGACGGCCGACTTTCCCTGGGGCTCGGCGGACCTGGAGCAGGCCGTCTGGAACATGACCCACAGCTGGGGCGACATCGTGCACAACTGTGCCGACTTCTACAATAACGGCTGCAGTGAGTCCGCGCGACTGCGGGCGCGAGCTGCGGACACAGGCGCAGTTTTAGGCCTGCTCTTAGGGCCTTGGCCACAGCGAATAAAATGCTTCTTCTGGAGGTGTTCCATACCGCTCTCATTTTGAATGCCTTCTTTGTAAAAGTAAAACATTTTATTCATTTTCATCAGTGTTGATCCGCAATTCGCCCCCTTTATTTTCACCCTGCCCTGTTCATTGCCGAGCTGATAGCTCATGATCGCACCGTGCTGCGTTTTCCTCCTCCGGTGCTATCTATTCTTCTTTGCGCTCTAAATGTCGCCTCTCCCGGTATCGCGTCCCCACTACCCGCTTCCTGCAAACAGGTCGGCGGTGACCAGTGAGCTGTACCAGTACGACGGTACAGGTATGTGTACAGGTACAGGTACAAGTGCTCTCCCCGCGCGCCCCCCAGACAGGTCGGCGGTGACGAGTGAGCTGTACCAGTACGGCGGCCAGTGTCACACGGTGCGCTACAGCGACGCGCTGGCCGAGGGTGTTCAGCGCGGCATCTGGCTGGGGCTGCACAACCCCAACTGCACCAGCTGCGGCCGGCACCACTGGAACGTCTATGTGCACTCCGTCAAAGACCACTACATGGGTACGTGTTTGGTGCAGCTGGGGAGGGTAAACAGTCGCTGCCAGTTGCCACCATAGGAGGGAGTTAATGATAGTGGAAGGTTATGGTCTTTGTCGGGCGATTAATGAATAAAGAGTAGGACGTGAAATGAGCTGGTGTCAATAGACGGTTGTCTGCGCCTCTTTTTCATCATTAAACGGAATGATGTACATATAGGCTGCTTTTTATTTATCTGTGGGCGTCTTTCATGATGTTCGCCAGTGCAAAAGTGATAATGACCTGAAAACGATAAACGTTCGATTTCAGCATCGGCCTTATGGCCTTAGTTTTTGTATCGAGCGACTGATTGAGCGAACGACGACTCCTCGTTCGGCAGAGAAACGACCTGAATTTTTGTCACGAGCATCGCCAAAACTTTTCTCCCTTTCTTGTGCTCATTTATTTTCGGTCGCAACTTATATTTTGGTGGAAACAGGCGCACTGTAGTATGTATTGGATTCTTATGATTTTGTTAAATTATTCAATAATTCGTTTAATTCATCGGTGTGTCATCTGGTACTGACGTCCTGTTCTGTTCTTCGTTTCAGGATGAAATTTATTATGAACCTTTTTGATTTTGTTGATTTTCTTTGAAATAAATTACACATCTCGGTGCAACAAACTTTGGATTTTTGCTGGGCCCTGTTCGGGTCCGCGCAAAATATTTTGCTGAGTGTGAGGTCACACATGTGATGATGTCAGCCGCCTGGCTCCGCCCATGCTCCGCCCCCTCTCCGCCGGTTCGCAAAGCCGAGGGCCACGCGACACGCGGCGAACCGTGGCGCGGATGGACTGGTGTGTTTCGTTCAGTTACTAAGTAAAATGCGTTCAAATGTGGTTAATAGCAATATGCCACTGAAAAGAAAGATAATGATACCAAAACAACACCATACTAACCACTTACATTAAGAAATATATGAGGGTAAACTTAAATCCGCGCCACTTTTGCCTCCTGCAGCTACTATTTTATTCTTGCGTAAAACTGAAAGATTTTGCGCGAGCCTACGTCACACGTGTGACGTCATACGCCGAAGGGCGGAGCTTGGCACCCGACAGACCCCAACTGCGCATGCGTGGTGCAAAATTTTGCAATAGGATGCGCTGCCCGAACAGGGCCCTGGCAATACATTTCATCTACAAGCAAATTATTAACGTAAAGGGAACGTAACGTAAACGAACGTAACGTAGACTATGATAATTTAACTTGAAGATACAAGAATTCGACAACACAAAGAAAACATGAAGAACGCAGAGGAGTGTGCACCAGATCTAATCCAAAAAGCTAAAAGAAGTAGAACTAATGCTAGAAGCAAATTTACAAGAAAGTGCAACGCATTTGTCGAACTAAATGAACGAGGTGAACAATTTTAGTACTACAAGATAAATTCAACGGTATACGCGACATTTTTAAGGAATTGGATAATGCGAACGACCGACTTATTGAAACGATAAATGAAAACGCACCACATCACGTCATGGACGGCATGCTCGAAGATTGTGATTCATATATGGAAGAAGTCGACTCCGTTCTCGATCGAATGCGAGCAATATACGCCTCTTGTGTTTCCAAATCATCTTCAGAGACATACAGATCTTCACAAATTCATGTAAAGGCTCTTGATTCACCTCGCTTCGGAGGAAACATTCGAAAATACTCAAATTTTAAGCAAGATTTCACAAGATTAATGGTAAAAACATACGGCAAGGACGCATATGCGCTCCGATCATGTTTATATGGTCCGGCTCTTCAAACCGTTAGAGGAGTCGAAGATGACTACGACAAAATGATTGAACGGTTGGACAAAGTTTTTGGAGATTCGCGAAAATTCGTCGATACCATCATTAGCGACATTAAATCAATTAAGCCCATACACGACGGCGATAGCAAGAAATTCATTTCAATGGTTGACGTTATAGAAAGATGTTGGTTGGACCTTCAGCGAATAGATATGAGTGAAGAAATGGACACTGTTGCGATGGTCAGCATGATAGAGAAATTGCTCCCTCCAGTACAAAAGCGTGAATGGATAATTCATGTGGACACGAATCGTATAAATTCCAAGGGGATGTTCGAAGAGCTTCTGCAATATCTTTTACGCGAAAAACGAGTGATCGAATACACTGAACACGACCTCCGAACCGACAAATCACGAACGTCTCATCCTGCGACTGTAAATCAAATCGATCGACCGTCTACATCGCATTCATCTCATCGACCCTATAATCATTACGCACCTGTCCAGACGCAAGATAATCAAAATCATTCCAGTATCGTTTTTACATCACGTCCATGGTGCTGGTTGCATAAAACTAACGGACATTTGATTGAAAATTGTAGCGAATTTTTGAAGATGACGTTTACAGAAAAATTTGAAGCCGCACGAAAATTTGGTGCTTGTTTTAATTGCCTTCGAGCTACCAGACACATAGCTAAAAATTGTTCGGAATCAAACAAGTGTGACGTCATAGAAGCAAATCAAAGATGTGGAAGACGGCACCATCCTCTACTGCACAAAGCATATCTACCGGAACGTAAAGAACCTCAAGCCAGCCAAATTAGTAATGTACAAGTAAAAGAAAATCGTCCCTTGTTGGCAGCTACTGCGGTTCAATGTAACAAGCAGCGAGTTACTGTTATGTGGGACTCTGGAGCGAACATATCTCTTATCACCCACCAGGCAGCTGAACGACTCGGATTACAAGGCAATGAAGTCAGCCTATCCATAGTCAAGGTAGGGGGAGAACTCACGTCATATACCACCAAGGAATACAAAGCGCCTCTCGTTGATCTGGTCGGAAAGATCTGGATAGTGAATGCATACGGAATAGACGATATCACTTCAAATCTCCAGCGCGTGGACATACGGCAAGTTGAGGGCCGGTTCCCTGGTATTGATATTTCGAAATTCACCAAACCTGAAGGAAAAATCGACATGTTAATCGGCGTAGATTTTTGCACAATGATGCCGACAGTTGTAAAAACAGTTGGGAACAGTCAACTGTTAGAAAACCAATTCGGATTCTGTATAAGGGGATCGTTTGGAGCGACAACAGAAGAAACCGAACATACTAATGCGACGATCCGAATCAACTACACGAGCTTCGACCCACACCAAGACGGAATCAAGAGAGAGTCCCCAAAACACATTGTAACCGAATTAGAGAACTTCTTTGAAATTGAAAGTCTCGGTACAAGACATATACCGAAGTGTGGTGGTTGTCGATGCGGAAAATGTATAACCGGAACGCATAATTTCACTTTGAGAGAAGAACATGAGCTGCAAATGATTCGAAGTGGATTGAGATATGATAGTGAAAGCAACAAGTTCACGATTGAATATCCCTGGATCAAAGATCCGAACAATCTCCCAAATAATATAGGAGCAGCAAGAGCAAAGCTACGGTCAATGGAGAATCGATTACAAAGATTAGAATGTTTGCATCATTCACTTCAATTTGCCCCGAAATTGTCCAATATTTGATCATGAAGTTGCCACTTGCTAGAATATCTTGCACCTGTGAGGCGATTGCTAGAGCCTCGTCTGGATTATGAACTGAGTGCACCAAGTCATCCACATAGCTGTTTCTAGTGATCATGGCAGCTGCTTCTGGATACTGTCCTCTGAACCTCTCTGCTATTGTATGGAGAGCGGTTAACGCGATAGTGCCACTTGGCCGGTCACCGAATGGAACGGCCGTCAGAATATAATGATCCGGCTCTCGATTTTTATCCATGTCGCGCCAGAGGTATCGGTGGACATGTTGATCGCGCGTTGAGAGCTGTATAGAGTTATACATCTTCGAGATGTCTGCCGTGATAGCTACTGGATATTCCCTGAATCGCAGAAGTATACCATATAAATTGTTTATAAAATCCGGTCCTTTGGCCCAATATTCATTGAGCACGTGGCCCATATACGAAGCTGATGAGTTGAATACTATACGTATAGGGGTAGACGACGAATTTTGTTTGATCACTTCATGATGGTGAATGTAATGCACCGGTCCCTGATAACTGTCAATTTCTTCGTTTGATAATTTCCTTGCCACTCCGCGTTTCTCCATGTCTGTCATTTGATCGCAGTAAGCCTTGCGATAATCATGATCTAATCTTTGTAATCGATTCTCCATTGACCGTAGCTTTGCTCTTGCTGCTCCTATATTATTTGGGAGATTGTTCGGATCTTTGATCCAGGGATATTCAATCGTGAACTTGTTGCTTTCACTATCATATCTCAATCCACTTCGAATCATTTGCAGCTCATGTTCTTCTCTCAAAGTGAAATTATGCGTTCCGGTTATACATTTTCCGCATCGACAACCACCACACTTCGGTATATGTCTTGTACCGAGACTTTCAATTTCAAAGAAGTTCTCTAATTCGGTTACAATGTGTTTTGGGGACTCTCTCTTGATTCCGTCTTGGTGTGGGTCGAAGCTCGTGTAGTTGATTCGGATCGTCGCATTAGTATGTTCGGTTTCTTCTGTTGTCGCTCCAGCTCGAATCCGTCCATGGAGGAAATATTACGCGTGATACCGCCCGTGTTGACACGAAGGATGTTGTTACGGCAGACAGCAACCATCTTTGACCCACTCGGCCTCATTGTACCCTTCACCATTCAAGGTAAAGTTTTGATGAGAAAACTTATAACCCGTCAAGTCCCAAATCAGCAGCTTGACTGGGACGAGTCCATACCAGAAGAATGCAAAGGCGAGTGGATCACTTACTTAGCGGATATGTTTAGACTGAACCGCATACATTTTACAAGATGTCTACAGCCCCCAGACGCAGACAGCGATCCCATCCTCATCATCTTTTCCGACGCCAGCTCACAGGCCTACGGAGCGTGTGCATACGCCCGATGGAAGCTTAAATCTGGACAATACAAGACCTGTTTAATAACAGCAAAAAGCAAAATATCACCTAACCGTCAGCTCAGTATTCCGAGGTTGGAGTTATGTGGAGCTGTGTTAGCCTGTCGTTTAGGTCAAACGATTTTGAAAGAAATGACTTACAAGTTTCAGGAAGTTTTATACGTGGTCGATTCAATGATTGTTCGGTCACAAATACAAAGGCAGTCATACGGATTCGGGACGTTCGTGGCAACCCGCATCGCAGAAATACAAGAGAAATCAAGTCCAACTGAATGGTGGTGGACCGGAGGTCGCAACAATCCGGCTGACCTGACGACCAGATATACCAAGCTGGAGGAGCTGGACGTGAATAGTGTGTGGCAATCAGGACCACAGTTCTTGAATTTTCCGAGAGAATCGTGGCCCATGAGCCAAAAGCTGTATGAACACGAATTGCCCGACAGTATCGTCGTCAATCTCACGACGATTGGAACCAACACTGCCAGGCACGACATTTGCAATGACATTGCAATTGAAAATTTCAGCAGCTATGATAAACTTATCAGAGTCACTGCGAGATTGTTGAGCATTGTGGAATCGGATACAAGATCCCTGAAGAGCATCGGCAAACCATTGACAGTGGAAGTTCTATCAAAGGCCGAGGAATTATGGATCAGACAAGCTCAAAGAACAATTTTGGAAAACTGGCAAGCTCGGTTTAGGAGGCTCGGTCCTAGCCTAACGGATGACGGTATCATCATTGTTGGAAGTCGCATTGCCAACTGGCTCAAGGAGAATTGGAATCGAGATTGTTACACGCTTCTACCATCAAATCACCCGTTAACACATCTGATCGTCCGCAAAATCCACTGCCGGGATCATGGCGGTATTGATAGCACGCTAGCACAGTTACAGACGAAATTCTGGGTGCCGGGAGCGAGACGAGTGATTAAAAGCATCAGGCGAGAGTGCATCGTGTGTAGAAGGCTTTTTGATAAGCCTTCACCTCAAGTGATGGGACCGGTCAATCCCAACAGACTCAAACCCAGTCCTGCATTTCACCATACAGCGCTAGACATGTTCGGCCCCTTTTTGATAAAGGATACAGTGAAAAGAAGAACAACAACCAAGACATATGGAGTGCTGTTTACGTGCCTGTCCTCAAGAGCATCGTACATAGATTTGGTAGAGGGTTACAGCACGCAGGATTTTCTCCTGACGCTTCGCCGCTTCGCAACGATTCGCGGGTATCCTGCCACCATATATTCGGATGCCGGTTCGCAACTAACGGCTGCCAGCAGGGAAATTCAAGACATGACCAATCAGTGGAATGTCAATGAGTTGGTGGATGCTGGAGTCAACCACGGCTTGACATGGAAATTTACCAAGTCGGCAGATGCCCCTTGGGAGAACGGATGCAGCGAGTCCCTCATTCGTCTTATCAAACGGGCATTGGCGATAGCAGTGGGTGATAGCAAACTGACTTTCAGTGAGCTGCAGACAGTCCTTTTCGAAGTAGCGAACATCCTGAATCAGCGACCAATTGGAAGAAAACCGGGAGCGGATCCACTCAGTGGTGCTTATCTGTCACCAAATGATCTCTTGCTTGGACGCACGGGCATCGACGCACCACAAGGGGAATGGCCTGAAACATCGAGGTTGGCAAGCCGATTCTTATTTTTGCAAAGGATCGTTACAACATTCTGGAAGAAGTGGTACCGGGATTACTTCACACAAATGATTGTTCGACAAAAATGGCACATCCAACAGCGAAATTTTCAAGTCGGAGACATCGTGATTGTCCAAGAGGACAACCCCGCGCGCGCGACTTGGAGGATGGCAGAAATAAGCAAGGTCGAACCGAGTTCTGATGGATTGGTCAGGGATGTTACCCTGAGATACAAGCCACTGACAAGCGGATCAGAGTACAACGGACGGCCAGACATACTCATCAAACGATCGACTAACCGCCTGATACTGATCATCGAAACAGACGAACGCACTCCGGGCGCCCCGGAGCCTCAGCGTGACCCCAGCGTGACCTCGGAACCTCAGCGTGACCCCAGCGTGACCCTGGGACCTCAGCGTGGGGGGAGTGTATCGAGCGACTGATTGAGCGAACGACGACTCCTCGTTCGGCAGAGAAACGACCTGAATTTTTGTCACGAGCATCGCCAAAACTTTTCTCCCTTTCTTGTGCTCATTTATTTTCGGTCGCAACTTATATTTTGGTGGAAACAGGCGCACTGTAGTATGTATTGGATTCTTATGATTTTGTTAAATTATTCAATAATTCGTTTAATTCATCGGTGTGTCATCTGGTACTGACGTCCTGTTCTGTTCTTCGTTTCAGGATGAAATTTATTATGAACCCTTTTGATTTTGTTGATTTTCTTTGAAATAAATTACACATCTCGGTGCAACAAACTTTGGATTTTTGCTGGCAATACAGTTTTCTATAGTCGTCTGTCAGGTAGCAGTGTCCAGAATCTACGCGACAAGCTCCGCTTTACGATTCTGCTCATCGATAAAATATCCTATTTAAATTGTCAGTCGGCCTTAAAGGGACCCTCCCACCTTCAAAAAAGTTTATGAATTGGCATGAAAGTGATGCCGCTCGGTTCAGAAAGAGCGAAAACGAATATCTACCAAATTTCACCGAAAAATATTCACCGGTTTTCAAGATATTAGACTTTTACTTTTGTTTACTTTTTGGGGTCTCTGCTGTTCCTAGCGACTTTATTTGGAAGCAATAGTTTGGCAGCTGAAAGTGCGGCACTTGTTGCGCGCAAAGCAGCATATACCACCGCGTGCTACAAAACGTTTTAGTCAAACATTTAAAAATCGTTAGATATCTGCGCTGACGTCACACATTCAGAGGGGTATTCCTATGCATTAGCCCCTCTGAATCAAAATGCTGCAATTTTGAAATTCAATATTTCCGATTTAAGGCATTGCTCGATGTTGTGAGTGCCGAAACCGGTAATTGTGAGCCAGGGACCCCATTTTGGCTATCTTAACTCAAATCTAATGTTAAGGTGGGAGGGTCCCTTTAACCCTATTAGTGGCAGGCTCCTGGCTACCCCATATTAGTGGCAGGGGGGGGCTGTTTACGACCCCCCCTTGATATCTCGAGATCTAACGGGCCGATTTTCAAAATTCAAACGGCATTCGATTTGGCTCAACGAGATCTACATTTCTAAAAAAAATAAAATTAAAAAATGTCAATAGGGGGGTAGAGGGGGTAAAAAAGGGCAACTTGCAGATACATTTTAGACTGTTTATCACGGCCAGGTTTCTGAACCAATCTTAACGCAACTTTTGCCGATCGATAGAAAATGAACCAGGAATTCACATGGATCCTAAAAATATGCATTTTCAAAAATCATAGGCGGATACAGATCATTGAGATTGGGGGTACACAAAAAGTATAGTAAATAAGGTTTTTGTTGGTACTGTTTCTAAAAAGGGTGGCAATGGTCTTGTTATGTTACAATTTTCTTATGAGAGAACGACTAAAATTGTATTGGTCATGCATAGGCGGTGTCAGGGCACCTATGTTGGGAGGTAAAAAATAACCCCCCTTTTTGGACGCCTGGATCCGCCCATTATAGCAAAAACGTGTCAAAAGAGGATGCACAATAACTTTGTATATGTTATCACATGATACCTTTCATTCACTGTTCGTAAAACTGGTGCAGCATCGTGATCTTCGCCCAAATGACTCGCTTCACGAATAGGACCCCCCAATTCCCAGTGCTCTGGAGCCGCCCCTGGTAAAGTTATGAACTTGAAATTTTCAGGGAATGTGCCCAATTTAGTTTTAGGAAAAGTCAGAAAATTTCAGCATCGTAGCTTCAGCGGTTTCGGAGATATTCCCGAAAAACCTGAGGGGTGGATAAAAACAACCCCCCCTGCCACTAATAGGGTTAAGTGTCTGCGTTGATCCCCCTGCCTGTAGGTATGCATGTTGGTCTGCAGATTGGGAGCACGTGTGGGCGCCGCCTCGCGCTCAGATGGAGAGCGGGAAGGAGCAGAACTTCATAGTGACGAGGATCCTCGACATCAGGCTGCCGAGCGACACACACCCGTGCAACACGGACCCGACCTACTCGCAGCCAAACGTAATGTGGGGAGTGGGACGGACAGTTGGCGACCGAACCTCCAGCCGGCAACCGAGCCCCCGGTCAGCGTCCGTTTCATGGACGTCGGTGTAAAAATAACTTGATTTGGATCCACACAAAGGCATGGCTTTATATATCCGGTAGATTAGCTGCCCGCTAGTTTAACACCGCACCGCCATTTTACTGGTTCCAATTCACTTGTGTGATCACTAGAAACGGAAGCATTGTATTTATGTTTGTCTTAGATAGGATCAAGAAGATATTTAGGGTGCAAAAAACCTAAACATTTAAAACACATTTTAATTTCCCTCTGCGTCATTCATGCCATTCACTTTTTACACGCACTGAATTATCAACTTGCAACCGTCTATCGGCTACCGTAACACATAATAGGAGTACCGCAGTTCATGAGGCCCGCCACAATACGCGTGGCTCCGTATTCTCGGCACGGTCAGCCCGCCCTCTGACGCCCCCCCCCCCCCGGCAGTGTATCCGCCAGTGTCTGTTCTCGGAGATGGCCGCCCTCTGACGCACCCCCCCCCCCCCCCCCCGCCCGCCCTCTGACGCACCCCCGCCCGCCCTCTGACGACCCCCCAGTGTATCCGCCAGTGTCTCTTCTCGGAGCTGGCGGAGCTCGGGCCCGGCTGCCGCCTGCCCTGGATGCCCGTGAAGCTGCCCGTCTGTGACACCGCCCGCGACTACCAGCTGCTGCTCAACTATACACGCATGTTCTCCCGCACCCACATCGTCTGGCACCAGAACTCCGAGCAGCTGAGGGCCAACGAGTACTACGCTGCGCTGAAAAGGCAAGTGACAGTGGTGTTGACTGTTTACTCTGCAATGCAATCTGCATATCGCAAAATGTAAAACGACCAACTATTCGTCATCACATACATCTCAAATGTGTGCAGCTGAATACCTACTGGGTAAGGGGTATTGTGTCAGTTATCGTCTTAGCTCTTAGTTGTTTCTTTATCGGGACTAGAGCACGCCGACTGCCATGACAAACATTTTGCATCATGCATCGTTGACCGCATTGTCATAGACCGTCCACTGTGCAGCACCTGTCAGGCCGGCACCTATACCGAGCAGTGACGATGCGCCGCCGCGCCGCCAGGATCGCCGACGGGTGCAAGGCGCGCTGCGAACCGCAGTGCTATCAGGAGATTATCACCCTGACGCTGTCCGACCGGCTCAACCACAGGAGAAACCACCCGTGGGTGGCGCTGAGCGTCGTCCAGAGGCTCTACGTCTCGCGACAGACGCTCGCCTATGACATGCAGCAGGTCAGGCCGGCTGGACGGTTTGCGTCGGGTGATCCGGTCAGTCTTGGAATCGGGGAAATATCGTGGTGCATATAAATATGCAGGCATCTACCAATTCTACAAACAGATAATTAAAAAAATCTCGTCAAGCACGTTCATGCGTATGAAATCCTAGGTCATATGCTTCAAAGCTGTCATCGTTGTGAATCATCCCGACATCGATATTCTCATGTTAGATACGCGCCACTCCGACCCGACCCAGAGAGAGCGCGCCGCTGGCTGAGCCACCGGGCGTGTCGTGTTGCAGATGGTCTCGGACATCGGCGGTAACCTGGGTCTGCTGCTGGGCGTCTCGGCGTTCACGTTGTACGAATTCGTCGAGAGCTGCGTGCGCCGCTGCTGGCGCCGCCGTCAGCGGGGGGACGCGGGAGCCGACAGGAAGAGCTCGCCCGGCGGCGGGGACGGGGGCGGCTCGTGGGTGTGGGTCTCCGGCGTCACTCACGGCACAGTCGGCGATCAGAATGCCACCCAGGCATCGGGGTCAGCGGCGTATTTAGAAAATCGCGAAGGGGGGGGGGGGGGCCAAGGGTTTGGAGGGCGCCACCTCACCCAAGGAGGGCGCCATACGTTCGCGAGATAAAAATCCTTAACGATCGCTCAGCGGAGGGGGGGGGGGGGGGGTGGGAGGCCTTTTTTTACTGCGCCACCAGTTTTTTTGCGTACCTTGGTATAGGTTATGCTGCATTGATTTTCCATCGTGTGTATTTTGTTTTTACTCCAGGTCACAAAAGGTCAAGTCACCCGCTCAGCTTAAGTGACTATGCTTAAAACATTTTTTTTAAGTTAGGTCACTCGACATGGCCTGATGACCTTGCTTTTAGCGACTATGGTTTACATTTTATAAAGCACGTGTAAGAGTAATGTACCAAAAGGTGTGCCCCTCCCGCTCACCCAGTTCCCTCCCCCAACAGGAAAAAACGGAAGCTCGTAGCGTAGTGGTATATGGGATTTTTCTACCGCATGTCTGAAGAAATGTCCTGGCGCGGGTTATTCTGACACGTGACGAAAAGGTTGGAAGTGATTGGCTATAAGTTCCTACTAAAGAAGTGTTGTTGTGCGCGCCGAAGGCGCGCGAAATTTTTGAAAACAACCTTTTCCTCCGCCTTTTAGGCACATATTTTACGTGCTCACTGTTCAAAGCTCTTCTCGCTCTTTTACCAAATTTGAAGGTGTAAAAATACCTAAGGTTTGGTGGGGCCGGTGCCACACAAACTGTATAGGAAGCTTCGCCCATGGGTGACGATGTAGAAAAGTTTATTGGCGGTGGCATACACACCAGACCACCATATCGGATTGATACCGGAGCGCGAGGTGCGTAAACACAAGCGCACAACGAGAAGGCGGCAGAAACAGAAAGATAGGTGAACCATAACAGGACTGTTCCTCATGAGATTGATTAGCCTCCTCGGGCTTCTCATCCAAATTACCTCGACCAGCCCTCATGGCCTTCTCACAGATGCATATTACAGTGTTGAATACCTAAATAACCAGCTTCAATCACCGAAACTAATGCCTGCTGTTGCAGCCGAACCTGTTGACAATACTTAATCGTGATCCATATAAAATAGATGTCATGATGCATGTAAAGTAAGATCAATCCGTTAAGAGCAAAGACGTGTTTTATGCATGGTAGAGCGTAGACAGTTTTGGTATGCTTCATTCATTATGCTGAATGCACGTTTATTTGTGGCAGTTTTCACAGGCCACAAATGAACAAAGTAGATAAATCAGGAAAGACATCAATATGTGCAAGAGAACTGCTAAGTTGGGAAACATGCCAAAGGAGTAGATAAATTATGGGAGGGCAGCGATCAACGGAGGTCGCCAATAGGTAGAAGGGCTGCCTGCGATCGACAGGAGGTCGCTAATAGGTAGGAGAGCCCCGATCAACATCCCGAGTTTCGACAGGAGGGCACCGATAGGTAGGAGGGTGGCAAGCAGCAGGAGGGCGCCAATGGGTAGAAGGGCGGCGATCAACAGGAGGGCGCCAATAGGTAGGAGGGCCCCGATCAACAATCAACAGGAGGGTGCCACCAGGTGAGAGGGCGGCAAGGAACAGGAGAGCACCAATAGATAGGAAGGTCGCCAATGAGTGGAAGGGTGACGATCAAGTTCAACAGGAGGGTGGCAATGGTGAGGAGGGTGCCTTTGCCCAAGAGGATGACATTAAACAGGAGGGGACCTGTGGGGAGGGCGCCAATTTAGCAGGAAAGTGCCAGTGGGTAGGAGGGCGGCGATCAACAGGAGGGCATAAGTGGTTAGGAGGGCGGCGATCAACACGAGGGCGCCAATAGGTAGAAGGGCCCCGATTAACATTCAACAGGAGGGACTAGGGAACCAATAGGTAAGAGGGCGCCATGCAATGGCTAGAAGGGTGGCACTCAACAAGAGGGTGCCAAAAGGGAGGAGGGCGGCCATCAAAATTTCACGAGGGCACAATTGGTGGGAGAGCGCCAATAATTATGAGGGTGCCGACCAGCAGAAGGGCACCATTGTGTAGGGCAAGGTGGCGACATACAGGAAGGCGCCTTCGGGTGAGAGGGCGCCTGTTTACCAGAGAGCGCCAATAGGTAGGAGTACAACGATCAAATGAGGGCGCCAGTGGGTAGGAGGGCAGCGATCAACAGGCTTACATAGGCGACTACCGCTACGCTTAGAAAGCTTTAGCCTACAAATGCGGTTGGAGGGCGCCCAAGGGAGCCCTCCAATCGTATTTGGAGTGCGTATTTGGAATGGCGCCCTCCGAGGGCGCCCTCCAACCGTATTTTCCCTGCAAACACATTCGCGATTGGGCGCCCTCCAGTCGCGATTGTTTTTCGATTCGATTCTATTACAATTGCATTTGCGATTGGAGGGCGCCTTCGGCGCCCTCCAATCGCAAAGGGCGCCTTCGGCGCCCAAGGGGGGGGGCCATGGCCCAGTGCCCCCCCCCCTGCCTACGCCCCTGATCGGGGTAATCGCCACTGTGATTCACCGTGTAACGATTGTGATGTAAAGGTTACGCCAGCGACACAATGTGGTCAGTGTTGCCATCGGCTTCTTTGGCAGACGGTGTCTTTTACCTTGTCACGGTTATGAAATGCAATCGGAACAACTTTGTCCTTAGACCACTATATGTAACTATATCTAGTTATATGGTGGTCTATGATCTGTCCTTTTTGAACACCGTGAAGATGCTTTGAGCCAACGCTTTAAGATTTTAAGCACGTTCCCCTATAAACTTGAGTCACTATATCGGACTTTTTGCGTTACTTTCACCTCCGGAAGCCTTACATTGCCCTTGGGGTACAGATTATCACTAACGATCTCGCCTTCAATGCGTAGTATAAAGTAGAGGGCATGTCGACACCGCACCCAGATCGTCGAAACGAAAATCCTGCAATACGCAGAATTCACCTGGACATTACCTGATAATTGACGTCATAACCTGGTGGCCTGACCCAGTAGGAAATAATACTTTTTAGGTCGAGTCCGGAGGATGACCAATGCAAGCAATGTGTAAGTCAGCCTTGTGAACGTCGTTTGCGAATACCTACGTTTACGAGGCCCAATGCGGAGCCAAAATGTCGCCTTTTCCTCCAAATCCCCGTGTCCAGAAGCGTCCCTCAGACCACCCCCACGGCGCGCGTTGACGACGGATTGTAAGAGACAATCTCGCTCCGGGGCACGTCAGAATCCAAATAAGACGCAATCAGTCTGGTAATCGGTGAAGATTTATTAGATACCGGACCTGACATCCAGCCCGCCCTCTGCACTCGGGCCATACGCCTAGGATTCCGTACACAAATACAACCAAAATCAACGCGTTAAGGATTTTCTCGAGCCACTCACCTACCGAAAGCTACGGACGCTGTCGGACAAACCACGCTCGGGCACAGTCACCAGCAGACGAGCCGACCACAAAAGTCAGGAAGTAACATAAAGGCAGCGGCCGGCCGCCGGTCGCCGCCCTCCCGAAGGCATACAATGACGTCACACGGCCGGCAACCCAATATAAAACCGAGTTACCGCACGCCACCACACGCCTCCTTCACCGGCCGAGCGCGCGCGCCGGCGGCCGAATCAGAAACACACACACACACGGGCCTCGCCGCCCGGCCCGCGGCGAGGCGCGCCAATTTGCCCGGTCCCCGCTCGGCGGCGGCGACAGGTTCGTTTGTACACAAACGAGACGTGGGCGCCGCGCGCGGCGGCGTCGCGCAGAGTCGGTCCCCGGCGCCGCCACCAGATGGCGGTGTGCTCCGGCGGCAGTTCACAGCAGACCATCACGATCAGCGGCCCGAGCCCGCCGACGAGATCCGCGCCCCAGCCCTGGCGGACACACGGCCGGTCAGTGACTACCTCCAGCCGCCAGATCAGCGGGGAACGAACCGCACCCTAACACTGGACAGTCCGTGAACAAAAAGATATTGATGCGAACCACTGAAACGTGGTGAAGCGACCAATCCGTTCTATTCAGATGAATTTCTTACACTTTTCCGATTTTCCTTCAGTGTTCTTACGAATGCGATAATAATTTCGGTTGCATACTTTCATCGTCACGATCAACTTCAGTTCAGCTGCATCATTCATATAGTCAGGTCTGAGGTCTGGCGAATGGCAATACTACTATCCTTTTAGATTCTTAATAAAACATGACATAAAATCAAATGTTATCGCGTGAAAGTCTCCTCCGATGACGGAAAACAAATGCTACCTTCCACATAGGATCTGTTCCAGTCGGATTTTCTAACACCTCTAAGTCTAAACTCCTCCAATAGCAAGATAGAGGAGGTCGGAGCAGGGTCCTCCTTGGCTTTGTAGGGGCTAGAGCTGCCACTGGAACAGGGGAGCTATCTTGGAGGAGTTCAGAGGTGTTAGGAAGTGCGACTGGAGCAGACCCATAATAGCGGTAAGTTTCATTCCACCTAACAAAGGAATTTCCACGCCCCAGGAGCCAGCAGTCGACCTGCTGACTCAGGCGACCGTCCCTCCCCGTGCAGCTTCCCTCCCAACTCACCGGTCGACTATTGGCCGGACGGCGCGCCCTTGCTCTTGAGGTTCTCTTCTCGCGGCTTGGCCCCGCCGAATATGCTGCTCGTCTGGGAGGTGTTGGCCACCGAGTTGGTGGGCGCGCCCACTGTGCGCGGCTTCAGGTTCAGCCTCGGCCTCCGCGCCGCGTCACCTGAGCGGGCACAGGGGGGTCATGTTATATCGGGCCGCAGGCAGGAGGGCAGACAGGGTCGGCGGCGGCCCGTCAGACTGACAGTTCGAACGCAACGTGCTCAGGGGGAAGTGTACTATTCCCATTCCCCAGCGAGACGACTGCTAACGAGATACGCCGACTCGAGTGTATCGGATAGTCATATCGCAAATCGAATAGCTGGCGAGTCTTACAGCGTGCCATGCATGATGACGCAATGCGGAGAGTTGCCACCGTGGGGATCGAAGTCGAGTCTAATCAGCATCAGCTGATAAGACAATCGGCGATCACGGACGTTTTACTGATCAGATGGAGTGATTGAACGTGGTCAACGTTATGAATCAGGCACGATATAAACATGAAGCATGAAACATTAGCTTTAGTAAGGACGAAGAGTTTTGACTGAACAATGGTTTTGCAATAAGTCTAAATTCTAATGTAGAATAATTACGAAAATATTTCACCCAAAATAATACTAAAATAATGCGACACAAACATCTGCAGGTGACATTTTCCTTTCCATGTCCCCTGATGACATCCCTTATTCTATGTTTTACTGGCCTACATACGCAATGGTGAGCCTAATATATATGTCGCCGGACGGACCAGCTCACTCACTGGGGTCTGGCTCCCTGAACTCCATGTGAGGCGGTCCGCCACCGCCACCGGCACCGGCACCGCCGCCGCGGCCTCCGTCCCAGGGGCCGTCCCGGCCGCGGTCGTCAAAGTCGCCACGGTGTCCGCCGCCCCCGCGGAACCCTGTAGAGGGGACGGGTCAACTGAGAGGGAAACTGAGACGTGGGACATGTCAGACACTGCGGGGATAACGTGGTAAGATAATGGATGTAGTTTACGCTGGCTTGGCCACGAATGGTGAAGGATGACAATGGCAACATGACATGGAAACAACACAACGATCACCTGGTGTCGAGGGCACAACAGAGTGGGTACCTGCCGCCCATTCTCCGATTGGCAAAAGCTGAGAACACAAATACCTAAACCATATTCACACAAAAGCAGCGGCTGTGCACACTGGAACGTTCCCATAATTATTCGCACCAAAACAGCTGCTGGTTTAGGAACATCAGACCGCGGGTGAAAATAAAGCAATGCATCCAATACATCACACACTGACAGAGAACTTCCATATTGTCCTGGCCCCGGCGACTTACCGTCGTCCCGGCCACCAAAGCCGCCTCCACGCCGGTCGTCGAATCCGCCGCCGCGCCGGTCGTCAAAGCCTCCTCCGCGTCGGTCGTCGAAGCCTCCTCCGCCGCCGCGCGGGAAGCCGCCAGGGCCGCCTGAACGGTGGTTATACGGAGGTTAGGCGAGACACCGACGGGTGACCGGCTTTGGCAGGGTTATGCATGATTCTCGAAAGAGTACACCGCATTCTAAATTGAGCACAGCATATCTGAGACAGCCTGCCGATTGTGAAACACAAGTAAATCACGGCGGTGCCTCCCTACTGTCGCCCACAACAATCGACTGCCTGCCGTCCTCTGCCTTCCCGTCAATATCAGCTGAGCACCCCTACCTCTGGGCCCTCCGCGGCCGCGGCCGCCGGGTCCGCGGCGGTCCTCAGCCACGTCCACGCGCAGCTCGCGGCCCTCCACGTCGGCGCCGTTGGCCATCAGCGCGCGCTCCAGGTCCTGTACGGACTCAAACTCCACGTAGCAGAAGCCCTTGAAGGCGTCCGTCTCGCGGTCCCGCACCATGTGGATGTTTTTGATCTGCCGGCGTGAGGAACCGAGTTTAGCCTTCACGAGGGAGAGACACAAATTAAATGCAGCGGACACAAGACCTTGCACTACAAATATTCCAAACAAGTTCTACAGGAGGCCAGGCGATCTCCACAGCACGTACCGGTATGCCGGCGAAGATTTTCTTCTCTACATCGCCCTGGACGACAAAGTCGGGCAGGTTTCCGACGTACGCCTTGTAGGGGGGCTCTGTGGGCAGCGGTTTCTGCGCGCGGCCGCCGCGGAAGCCGCCGTAGCCGCCGCCGCCGCCGCCATACCCGCCGCCGCCGCCGCCGCCGCCTCCGTACCCGCCCCTGCGGCCAACACACGGTCGTCACTCGTCAGTGGAGGCGTCCGGTCTACACAGGGCGACTGGTGTGCGGTGGTATGCACTGACTGTCTGGTATTTGGTGGTAGCTCACTACAAGCCATCCTTGGCATAATAAATATTGACCAATATGCATAATGCCTCGAACAAAAATATAACATTTAAAATAGCTGAGCACCTGCTAAAACGAATGAACTGCACTGAATGCTCTGAACTTCACCAATATTCAGAGCACAAATTAGCTTGTAGTTTGTACTATACCTTGTCCCAGCCAGAAATAGCAAGAATTCTGAAGCCAAATGTTTGGAAGAATTAGGGTAAGACCAAGCACCTTAAATGAATGCCTAATGCCTACTATGTATTTCAGACCCCGTGAGACCCTGTTTTTCGGCGATAATTTCTTCAGTTTTTGTCTAATTGGCTTGAAATTTTGACATTAGACATTTCAGCTCAAGCGCCGATTTTCATCAATATGGTCTCTTAACAAAATGTAAATATTTAGAGCACTTGTCATTGGCTCGTAATGCTAATTAGATTTTGCACCCGGATAGAGGCTCGTTCGCTACCGCAGCGGATTGGATGGGAGCGCTGGCCAATCACGTTGCGCCGGGCCCAACTAAGCTCCGCCCACTGGCCGTGACCGCGCTGGGTCTATGCAGGCTCAGTCGGCGGCAGCACCGCGGAGAGGTCGCGCGGGGGCCGTGCACTGGAAACATACATGGAATCGACAGGAAGTGCCTGAGCGAAAGCTTGCTCTTCATTTGGGGGCGTTGGTAACCGCTTCTCTCTTTTTGGTATATCAACACCGATCCAGCTCAGAATATGAGGAATAATCAAAATGAGGATATTAACCTCCCCAGAACCAACATAGAGAGCTGAGTCATGCACTATCTGAATATCTGAATGAATGCACATTCTGGCGCCTACCTCATGGTCAGGTCGTGCCACTATTCTGTCACCTATGACATCATGCGAAGCCTCTGCACTTCTCGAAAATATCGATATGGTTGGCTGCGTCAATTGCTGTTTCTGAAGACGCGTGTTATACCTAACTATGCAGAAAAAAAACAGCAGGATTATTAGTCGCGAGCACTTCCGATTACCTCAGACATCGCTCCACGAGCTGTGTTCGTTATTCGGGAAGCGTTGAGAAGGGAGCAGAAATGTAATGTGCGATTTATTGCCCATGGTAGAAATGTGACATCAGAGTAAGGGAAACAAGCGCATAGGCTAGTAAAGAAATCGCGTCTTTTTGTGAAACTAAAGTAACATTTCAAGCTCTCCAATAATGAGGCATTAGGGTACTTGCTTACAGGCAGGGGCGGCGCCACGGGTTTTCGATAGGGGGGGACGGGGACCGAAAATCGAAAATCCCAAAAGTAGATACTGATCGTGTATGCAAAAAAAAAAAAAAAACGAGGCACGTAACGCCGCGAAACTTGGCAAGGCCCAAAACACATCGAATGGTGCATCCCGTTTCCAAACTTATCCTAGGACACCTAAGATCGATCACCTTTTCAAGCATCCTTGCCTCTAAATCAAAATTTGCAGTCTTGCCAACTCAAAGCTGGTTTCCTATACAAGCTGCGAATTGCTTAGGTATGAATAGCAGTGCCAGCTATTCTTACGTTTCGTACTTTCAAATTTTCGATCTTACGTCTGGTCAGCTTCAGGGCTTCACCATCATATAGTCATGGAGGAAAAGTGGGAATGTCTTCTGCTCTGACAAGTGCGCCAAAACTGCAATATAATTTCAGAATCATGACATCACCACCTGATCCATATGCAACGGGCAAGGTGCAGCTAATGGCTAGCCGTCAGTGGTCATGTCATCGGTGGTCACTCAAAAGGCCATGCTAGGTCATGGAAGGTCACCAGCCGTTATTTGATCACACTTTCTGATGGATTTTACTTGCCAAGAGCTTTGCGGGAAAAACGAGCGCATGCATCGTTGAAAAAAAATGAGTGAAAGGGTCTCAGGTCCGGCGACCTCTGCAGGTGAAATGCCCCAGGGTAGGATTCCGGTCCTTGTTGATTAACTTCTTCAAAAATGGCAGTAGAGCTGTGATGTCGGCACCATTGTGTTCGTCATGATCGAGCTGGCACGACCTGCATCGTTCTCATATTCACCCTCCAATCGTAACAACTACAGCAGGGATTGGCAAATGGCGGGGCACCTCCTTTGGGAGGTAATGAAGGTCTCTGGAAACCTCATCCCACATCTCTTTAGCATTAGTGGTTCTCCTTATGGAACAGGTTTCTTGACTGGTCTGTTTCACCCCAGAATTCAAAGACTAGTCAAGGTAAAACCGAGCGCACCACAGTGAGCACAATTTGATAAGCTGGTGTGTCTCAATTTTCATGTAGGACCTTTCACGTATCACGGACCTAAAACCCTTTCGTGCACTCATGCAAAAGCAACTGCCATGTTTCAACAGCTGGTAATGGCATTTTCACAGCCGCTGACGTAAGAAGGGGAGGGATGGGGGGCTCGATTAGACCCCCAGCCGTTCGGCCGCCGACCGAACTTAGTTTTGCAGAAAAACGAGTGCTATCGAACCCCTTGACGAGAGGGAGCCGATGCTATATCCAATTATAAGGTCTTGGGCTACTGCGTGCTTTTTTGGTCCTGCCTGTGATCTATCCGAACACTTCTCCCCACAAGTGCTGGGGTTAAATGGCATAGATTTCAAATGGTTCCTGTGGTAGAACTGCCATGTTTGAATTTGACTAATTAGGAATGGAAAATTTTCATATAGTAACGGAAATTTATGGAATTTCAGTGAACTTGGTTTTATCGGCAATGGGGTCTGGCAGTGGGGTGGGGAGGTAATAAATAATAACCCTGCCTGGCGCCCCAAAAAGGGGGCACGATCCCCGAGGCCCTGCCGATCACCTTATAACTACGGGCATCACAGCTCCACACCTTTTGCAGATGGCCAGGGCCTAGGACCCCCTGCGATGCATCCCAACAGCAATCTTTATTCAGAACCTGCCTTTGTTAACCAACGATGCATTAAATGCGACGGATAGCTCTATAATGCATTATTATCAACTATTGAACGGGCCTCGCCGATAGGGGGGTACTGTACCCCCCTAACTTTCGATAGCGGGGGACCTGTCCCCCCCGTCCCCCCCGTTGGCGCCGCCCATGCTTACAGGTATCTTAATTATTTGCAGTTCAACACGAAAGCCTGGGTTCAAGTCAGTCCGGTGACCTCAATCTAGCCAATTATAAAATGGGCTAGTTCTGAAGGTGTTCAATCACATGAATCCATCTCAAGCATACGCATAAGCATAATATATTTCATATTTTAACCACACTTCTTAACCCTCGCCGGACCTATTGGTTTTCTACATACGCGCCGGCTGAGGGGGGGGGGGGGCGGGTACGACCCCCCCTCGCCGTTTCGCCCCTGGTAGAGCTAGCGCGTCGCGGAAAAAACGAGCGTGTGCGCCGTTACGAGACGCAGAGATTGGTACCCGATTTTAAGGTCCTAGGTCAACCGGTGACCTCTGAGGTCAGGTCAAGTGCCCCAGGGTACGGTTCAGTTTTTGGTGAATAACTTCGCAAAAAACGGCCGCAGAGCCGCGATTTTGGCAGCATCGTGTTCGCCTTGCTCAGGCGCGTCGAATGATATACTTTTTGTTCGGGTCAGGTCAACTTAGGGTGTTGACCTCAGGTCAAGGTCAGGTCAGCACCCCCAGGTCACGAAGTTGGTCGAAAGAGGTCATGTCGCATATCATTCAATTCGGCAGATCTTCCTGAGTCCATTGGTGGCTTTTTCGACTCGCTAGCTCAATTTGATCGGGAGTTATTGACGAAAAACTAATATGACCTTTATGACGTCATAAATGACGTCACGAAAGGTCAACATTGCAAAAGTGACGCATCTAACCTTGCAAGGAGTGCATCAAATCACGATTCTGTGTGCTTGAGATAGTTGGAGATCGTTCCCGGCGCCAGAATAGCAGTTTTCATTTTTCCCCATTGACTTATAATGGTGAGGTCACGAAAATGACCTGACCTCATATGACCTTTAGGAAAAATCCGAGATATACAAGTTCTGAGAGTCATAATGGATACTAAATCCTGCAAGTTTCATTTCCCTGTGACATCTCCTCTGGCAGTGAGGGCGTTGCGAAGTTGCGACATCTGAAGACCGTGCAGAGGTTCACTTATGACGTCATAGGTCAGTGACCTGACCTGACCCAAAAATTCGGTTGGTGTCAAAAGATGCGGCTTGGATCAAAGGTCAGGTATGCCAAGATTCAGCTCTCTATCGCCAGCGTGTTCGGAGCTATCGCGAAAAAACCCTATGGGGGGGCGGCACCCGCCCCCGCCCCCCCCTCGGCCGGCGAGGGTTAAATGCTACGGTGTAACTGTTTACCATATCTTGCAAATTTGACGTAGGCTGACCGACGTCTTACATCAGTTCACAGTCAATTGACATCAACGGCCTTTTTTAATGACGTTCAATCAAGCAAAAATGCAGTCACTAGTCCTGAACTTAGTATTAAAGTAGACATATCTTTATTGATTGACAAGGTGCAGGTTAATTTGTGATAAATGCAATACCGAAGGCTAGTGCGCTAATAACGAGCGCTAGTTTCTGCTGTATCGTCATTACTGCAACGGCAACGGCAAGGCAGCCACGTCGAATGCGAGCCGCCCCGGTCCGGCATACGGCCTTGGGCGCGGCGGCTACTGCCCCGTCGGCTCCACGCATCCGACTGACCGGCCAAGGTCACCGCTCCGTCCGGCGGGAGGGCGGAGCTTAATGGTCACGTGCCTGTGACGTCACGCCTACGTACGGATAGCCTCTACTCCACTGACGGATTTACGGAGCTGATTTTAACATTACGAGGCAACGATAAGTACCTTAACAATTGATATTTTGTTAAGAGACCATATTAGCGAAAATTGGCGCTTGAGCTGAAATGTGCTGTGCGAAAATTTGAAGCCAATTGGATAAATATTAAATAAATTATCGCCGAAAAACAGGGTCTCATGGGGTCTGAAATGCATAGTAGGTACCTAACCTGCATTCTGCTTAACACTCATCACCTAAAAAGGCATATAGGATGCCTTACTTGAAGATGACACCTGGAGCTACACAGCTTCCTACTTGATTATAAGTGACACATGCTTAACCCTCGCCGGCACAGGCCATTTTGCGTCCTTCGACGGCACAAGGGGGGGGGGTACGACCCCCCTCGCGTTTGGCCCCTGATCGAGCTAGAGCTTCGCGGAAAAAACGAGCGTGTTGCCCGTCACGAGAAGAAGCCGATGATACCCAATTAGGTCCTAGGTCATCGGGTGACCTTCCAGGTCAGGTCAATGACCTGAAAACCGGGAAAATCGGGACCTGTTAGAAAGTCGTAAAGTGGGGCTACTATGGGGGTTTCCGGGGTGCTGATCACGAATATCGTGTTAGTTTTGATCAGAGATGATGTCTTTAAGCATTTAGACCAGGTCGGGTCAGGTCAGGTCAGGTCAACCGGTAGGGGTTGTGACGGATTTGTAATACATGTCAACCGCCTCTGACAGCTTCGTAACATGTTACGAAGGCACCAAAACTACTTCGTAAATGTTCAAATGGTTGCTAAATTCGAATTCAGCTCCAAAAACTAGCCTAGAAACATGTAAAAATCGAAAAAGTGAACCGAGGTCACCCGAGGTCACCAAAGGTCAATGACCTGACCTGACCTTCAGGTGACCCACCCTAATGTATGGGAGCAACATCAAATCACATGTCTGAACGTTTGAAACCACGAAAAGCTTGCAAACGCGCGGCTAATGCGAGCCGACATACGCCGAATCGCGATTCCGGCCAAACATGGTCTCGGAAAAGAGGTCACAGGTCAAAGGTCATTTGGGTCATGGTCATGAAATTTTCAGGGTAGGTGTAAAATTGATCAATGCGAGGGTACTGAAAGTTTCGTCGCGATCGGCCGCTTTATACGCGAGTTATTCGCGAAAAACCTTAGGGGGGGGGGGGTTGCAGGTTGCATCAACCCCCCCAGTGCCGGCGAGGGTTAAGGTCTTGATTGAGAGATTGGGCAACTACATATCTAGATCAGTCCATTGGGTCAGTGGCAAATCCATATGTCAGTCTGTGGGTTACCTATCTTCCTATCTCAGATTGCCCAAAAATGACAAAATTATGTAAATCTAATCATCATGAAACAACATACAAACATTTTTGACTCTTTGACACTGAACAGCAAGGTATAAGCAAAGCAAAATCGGTATATGACAAGTTTAGGTCCTAACTACAATTGTGATGCTGTTGATACAAATATGTAACAGCAAAATTTTAGGTTTTAGGTTAGGTTAGGTTGTAGGTTAGGTTAGGTTGTAGGTTTGTAGGTTGTAGGTTGGTAGAATATAGGTAAGTAGGTAAGGTTAGGACAGGTTTGATTGTGTTTTTTCCTTTTATTTGCGAGACATATGAGTATCATTTTTGAATTCAGGATGTCATAATGTAAAAATATGAAAAATTTCAATGAAATCTGCTTAGGACTTAATATTGACATTTACCACAAAATCTAATATACTATTTAAAATTGGATGAGCTCTTTTGGGAGTACACCCTTGCAGTATTTCAACCACTTTCCTCGGATCCACCAATGCCAGTGGTTAGTCGCGTACGCAACATGAGAAGTAGGATCGACAGTGGCACATTATAATGTGTGTGTACTGTGCATTAAAAAATGTACTCAGCATAAGCATACATAAATGACAGTCTCATTGCAAAGCTGTCAGTCATATCATACAATTTAACAACCACGCCGCGTCCCCAGCTGAAGCTTCACGAGGTTAGGCAAAAGTGGCGCACAAAAAACACCACATTCCTACACATCTGATTGGCAAATCCGACAAGGAATGAATGAAACCATAAGCTACGAGGACCAGGTAAAACTCGGCGAAAGCTGATTACTAGAAAGAGTGTAATAACAATGATAACGTTACCCGAAATCATTTCCGTATCTCCCCGCCATGTTCCTGCGAAGTAAGGAACTCAAGGAACGGTCATAAGTGCTAGATCTTCTTCACTAACAAAAACCTTTAAAACTGACGTCATGAAAAAGCTGTGACTTTGCCCTTCGAGGACGAGTGGAGTGTCTCTGATTTCTTAAGATTAATTCCAGTGTAGATAAATCTAATTTTAAGTTTCCTTAAAATGTGAAGCGTAGTGCTGAATTAATTCAAATTAATTTGTAGAAATGATTGATGCCAAGGGAACCCCAATTACGTAAGATGCGTAGGCATATAATATTTGCATAAACTGCGCATCCGATTCTTTCCTGGCGCCCTCAACCCACCTCGCCCGGGGTGAGTATTGAAGCATCCAAGAGCGCAGCGTCCAAGGGACGCAACATCCAAAACCTTAGCATCCAGCAATCAAAACGTCCAAATAACATCCAAAACCGACCCCTTAGGGATGATTCAGAGCATCCAAGAGCGAAACATCCAAAAATGCAACATCCAGGACCACAGCATCCAAAATCGTATCATCCAAATTGGCAGCAACCAAGGACGAGGAATTGCAGCATCCAAGAGTGAAACATCCAAGGGTGCAGCATCCAAAACCGTATCATCCAAAAAACATCTCTGGCACCGCAGCATCCAAGACCGTATCATCCAAAATAGTGACATCTGTTGTACAAGCTGTAAACTATTAGTTCAATGGCTGTCCGATAGGTGGTGGCACGTACGGTTCCTAAGTGACGGAATTGTATGACATCACTGAGTCTCTATACAGTGGCATCCCTATAATGACCTTACATCCTCAAGACGGAGGTGCGTAGCTGCTGGTAGGGGTGAGTATTGAAGCATCCAAGAGCGCAGCATCCAAGGGAAGCGACATCGCTGCGATACCACTACAAACCTGACAGATGACATGAAGACGCATTGCAGCGTATCCAAGCGCGGCACGTATGAAGGTAGGCTGAAGTGTCGATAATGGAGACCGATACCGAAGGTAGGTTTATTAATTGCCCTTTCAGTTTTCACACCAGAAGTGCCTAATAAGTCGTGTAGTGTCCACTATCCCCGTAACCAAGCCTCCGCAAGGATCTTCATCTCACCGTCAGATCGCGCTTATCATCGTCAGCTCCTCCCGTTCCTTCACAGTTAACCTTTTCCTGTCCTATGTGATATATTCCATGTTCCAGAGGGCCAAAAAATATATAAATAGCCGTTTATACCAGGGGTGCGGAGCCGGAGCCGGAGCAGCCGGAGCCGGCATATTTTGCCCAGAGCCGGAGCCGGAGCCGTGAAACAATATAGCCCGGAGCCGGAACCGGAGGCGGAGCCGTCAAAAAAGGGGCGACTCCGGCTCTTTTTTTAAGAGGAAAAAATTATTGAACTAGTTCGGTTTGACAGTACAAGGCCATGTGGTATTCACTATTCAAATTAGCCTTGTTATGCAAATACAGAGGCAACGTGTACCAATCCAATTTCAATCGCCCTTTCTCTTCCACCCGTAGGTATTTAATTAATCGCATAGGGGATGTACTGAGAAGGAGCCGGAGCCGCCGGAGCCGGACCATTTTACTCGGAGCCGGAGCCAGAGCCGGACCGTCTGAAATTTCCACGGCTCCGCATCCCTGGTTTATACGAAAAAAAAGTTTTAGGTAACAGATTTTGACTGAAGGGAGCCACGACATTACTTTTGCCAGCAACGGTTCCTCTCGTCGAGTCGCGTCGAATGAAATTCGGACTTTTAAGGTCATTTGGAAAATTTGACCTCGGGTCAGGGCATGGCCTGACCGGAAAGGGTCATGCTGCATATCAGTCGATCCGTATCGCCGAGTTGAACACATCTGACATGTTTTTACCGCTCTAGCACGTCTGTCGTCTCTTATATCAATTCAAAAGAAATAGTTATAAAAACTGCTGGTGACCCTTCATGACCTGAGATAACCTCAGGGTCACACAGAGGGGTAACGGGTGCAATATTCGGGTGTGTCATGTTTTCCAATAAACCGATGTTTGAGAGTGTTTATAGATAGCATGGGCGTCGAAAGCGGGGGGACGGGGGATGCGCCCCCCCCCCCGCCGGCAGTCGAGGAATCCGGGGGGACGTCCCCTCCAAAAAATCGGCCATAAAGGATTTCAAAAGTGACTATTTGCAACGGTCATTCAATATGGAGTCATGTAAACAGAAATAAACCATTTTTAAAAGAATACTGCTGCTGGTCAGTTCGACGGTACAACTGAGCACTCAGACACTTCAGTGGCTCAGGTACAGCCCACCGCTAAAGTAATGTAGGGTTTTACCAATATCAACGGTTGGCTTTGACTGGCGATTGTTTAATGCGGAGTGAATTCAGAATTCAGATTTATTCAAAAGAAGTCCACTCACCATGGCTTTTCACTCTATCACGTCAGTTACAAGTACAAAAAGGACGTATTTAGGCCACATTCACGTTCCACACGCATACCACTCATACATCAACTCACTCCGATCATCACTGAGGATCGACAGATCTGACGACCGCTCTGACAGCTCTACGGAACCCGGGCTCACGGGGATCTGCCCCTATACCGTTGAGCAGTGTCACGCCACGGTAACACATTCTCCGCCTACCGGATTCAGTGCGTATGTTGGGGCGGCTGAATAGATCGGCTTGCCTCGTTCTGTATGTGTGCCTTTGGCTCGATCTCGGTCCAATAGTTCCACATAGGTACTCAGGCTGCTGAGTCACGATAACTAATACTCGCCAGCGCACACACGGTGTGGTAGTCGATCAGCTGCTCTACCTTGAGCCAACGGAGCCGCTGTATCTCACCGCTAATATGGTCGAAACCACGGGTGGAGAATGTTTGAAAAAGTTACCCGGCCGGCGACCGAAAGTCAGAAAGACGATGATTCTCAAAAATTTGTCAACGGTTATCAACAAACCCCTATTCTGTGGCATAGAATAATGGATGTCTGCCGTTTGTACGTTTTTAGGGAAAACTGCTGCACGCAGGCGCGGAAGATTTCGTAAATGTAACAACAATTTTACAACACGCCTTAAAATTTCGGACGCATGTCACCTAGTGCTAGGTCAGGTCATCTGGTCAAATTTGCTGGATGATCGTGCTAAAAATGTCATCATGCCCTTTGAAAAGCTTATTCCGTCGAAGTTGCAACTTTCCCACACAAAACAAAATGTCAAATTTGACCGTTTTGACCCTCTTATTGATTTGAGCTCGCACCTGAAATATTATTCGCGACCGAGCCTAAAACGAGTAATCGAATGTTTTGTTTGCAGTGTTTAAGCTCCGTTATGTTCATGAACTGTGAGAAAAGTTGTCGGAGAACGCTAAAATCAGAGAAATTTGGCTTTTGATGATCTATGGTGATTTTATTATTGAGCTTGCCTAAAACATGACCAGATTTCTCTGATCACGTTTGTCGCTCTTTCAAACGTCGTTTCGCTTCTCGCCTCGTAGCCCAGTAGCCGAGTTAGAAGGAGCGTGAAAAGCCCACCTCTCGACTCAACGTGTTACGATAGGGCCACCACCCTGGCGCGGGTTAAGTTGGGGGAGCCTTGTGCCCCAGCAGCTCGTCCTTCTATCTCACTGATATTACCCTCGTCCTGTCTTGTGATGTTATTACAGTGCCATCTTACGATAACGGCCCTTAACCCTATTAGTGGCAGGGGGTTGTTTTTATCCACCCCTCAGGTTTTTCGGGAATATCTCCGAAACCGCTGAAGCTACGATGCTGAAATTTTCTGACTTTTCCTAAAACTAAATTGGGCACATTTCCTGAAAATTTCAAGTTCATAACTTTACCAGGGGCGGCTCCAGAGCACTGGGAATTGGGGGGTCCTATTCGTGAAGCAAGTCATTTGGGCGAAGATCACGATGCTGCACCAGTTTTACGAACAGTGAATGAAAGGTATCATGTGATTACGAGCGAGCGAGCGCAGCGAGCGAGCGAGTTCATACTGAATTAAGGGAAAATCCTGAGTATGAGCGGCCGGCCGGCCGGCCGGCCGGCCGTGGGGACGCTCTTCAAAAGCTAATATCTTAGGAACGGGACATCCGATTGACAAGCGGTCTTCTTTACTGAATGTCACTTGGACGTAAAAGTTCTGTGGTGTGATGGCCACCATGCGTTCTTGCCAACCAACGCACGTGGCGCGTGGTAAAGTTGGACATTTTTTAAGAACCCCCAAAATTGCAACCTCAATAACGGCACAACGGTTGGGCCGATTGAATTGAAACTCGGTACACAGTTAGGTCTCCATCAGATAATTCATCTGCATGTGTTAAGGTTGGGGTGCTACAGCACGTGCGCACGTGCAGGGGGCGCTCCCAGATCTCGAGAACGGCTGGGCCGATTGCGCTCAAATTTGGTACACGGTTGGGGACCAGTTAGTAGGGTGCCGTGCAAAAGTCAGTTTGGACCCCGCTTGCACGTGCGCACGTGCAGAATGCCGCTTCCAGATCTCAGGAACGTCTGGGCCGATTGCGTTCAAATTTGGCACACCGCTAGCGACCGGTTAGAAGGGTGCTTTGCACAAGCCCGTTAGAAGTACCCTCTCGCCTTTGCGCACGTGCAGGGCTCACTATCTCGCTCGCTCGTTCTTCGCCCAAAAGGCGTTTTACTGGTAACATATACAGTTATTGTGCATCCTCTTTTGACACGTTTTTGCTATAATAGGCGGATCCAGGCGTCCAAAAAGGGGGGTTATGTTTTACCTCCCAACATAGGTGCCCTGACACCGCCTATGCATGACCAATACAATTGTATTCGTTCTCTCATAAGAAAATTGTAACATAACAAGACCGTTACCACCCTTTTTAGAAACAGTACCAACAAAAACCTTATTTACTATACTTTTTGTGTACCCCCAATCTCAATGATCTGTATCCGCCTATGATTTTTGAAAATGCATATTTTTAGGATCCATGTGAATTCCTGGTTCATTCTCTATCGATCGGCAAAAGTTGCGTTAAGATTGGTTCAGAAACCTGGCCGTGATAAACAGTCTAAAATGTATCTGCAATTTGCCCGTTTTTACCCCCCTCTACCCCCCCCCCCCTATTGACATTTTTAAATTTTTATTTTTTAGAAATGTAGATCACGTTGAGCGAAATCGAATGCCGTTTGAATTTTGAAAATCGGCCCGTTAGATCTCGAGATATCAAGGGGGGGGTCGTAAACAGCCCCCCCCCCCCTGCCACTAATAGGGGTAGCCAG